GGGGGGGGGGGGGAGAGAGAGTGAGAGGAAAATATCAGGCTTGGATATGTCTTGTAGTTGTCCTGTGGTTTGAATAAACTGGATGGGTTGTTTAGTGTGATCAATGCAGATACCATCTTAGCCACGAACTCTTTAAATTTTTCAATTGTAAGACCTACACAAAGCCTGCATACCTTTCAATTTTTCCAGTAAGTTACAAACTCTCTGTGGTATTTCCCAGTACCTCAGGCTGTTTTCCCTGGCAACACATGTTAGGTTGATGCTGAGACACACAAGTATTACAAAGCCTTCAAATGGCAAACTGCTATACCTGACAAAGGAGAAGCAACATAAAAACAAAACATGAATATATTAATTGAAGAACCACTGTTTTATGAAAAATTATCACAACTAGTGTCTGGACATATCTGGAAGAAACTGCATGAATGTTTCAAGCATGCCTTCTTGATTTCCTAGTAATAATTTTGTGCCAGCTTACTGACAAGAATGCAGGAAACATTCAAAGCTTACAACTTATGACAATGCCCATGATCTCTGCTAAAAGAAATTTCTTGCCAAAGTAAAACAACCATCCACTGCTGTAACAAATAATATACCGTAATATTAACGTCTTCATGAGCACAAGGCAACAATTTTCACCTGTCATAATGTACACACAAACCAAGACATATATAGTTGCCAGCCAAGTTTTCCAGCACACAACATTCAGTTACATAAAAGCCATGTGTAGCCTGATTTCAATTTCACCAAACAGCTTGCATTGTTATATTTATGTGCTGTTCCATGTATGAAGGACTATGGATATGTGCAAGGTAATAATTTTACTGTTTCTCTGTTTATTTTAAAGTAACTCAAATGGAAACCTTACATTAGATTCCTACAATTACAGAAGCTAGACTTAGGTTTGAAAGTGTTCCTTTTATTATTTTTTTTTGAGCTATGTCCTGTGCACCAAGACGTCATCATCAACAAACACTTATAATCTGTTAACTGCTCACTGTCATTTCTGATACCAATTTTTCTTTTTTTACATTTGAAACTTTCTTTTAATAGTAAAATAAAATTACACATCTCTGAAACATGCTTGTGAATATTTAGAAAACAGTACCTTGGATCACTGGATGTGAGGTAAACTAAAAAGAGAGTTAGTGAGTTTAAAAGAAGCGCAAGGGCTGACGTCCAGCAAAGTGTGGTATACCGACTCGTGTGATGGAACATATCCTTCAGCCATGAACCATACGGCCTGTAGGAAATGTCATAGCCTTTGTTAAAAAAACCAGTTTCATATGATGTACCTTATGCAATATAAGAAGTAATCCTATATGTTTGCATGTTGTTATTATGCAGCATGGAACAGTATTAAAATATATTAAACCACATCAATTTAAAAGAGTTCTGACTATGGTATATTACAAACTAAGCCCAAGATGAAATGTGTTGATTTGCTATAAAAACATAAGCATATGTCAAACTACAGGCAAAGATATTTAACTTCATGAGTAAAACTACTGAGGTCTTTGCAGCAGAGTGAAGAAGGACATACAAGTCCATGTTGCAATATATTACATTACACACACCATCTAACTCTCCAAACAATAACAAGAATTTTTTCTTTTGCACTAATGTTCAGCACAGTGTAGTGTTTATGATTCTGATATCTTACCTAGGATGGTGTCACCTGGCAGATGTAGTATTCTACATTTCATTATAAGCAAAGTATATACAAACAAAACTTTTGTAAGAATATCTTCCTGATTTCACTCTTATTCAAAATGTAAAGGCAGACAAAATTTATATTTGATACATGCCACATATTTTTTATTGGACTGATTACCAAACATCAAGCAAACAACACTTACAAGTAATCTTATTCCTCCTAAGAGAAAATTGCTACTTACCTCTTTGTTTGGAATTCTTTGTATTCATCTACAACAGTTTCAATATCTTGACATAAGCGATTCAGAGCTTCCTGTGTGGTTAAACCCATTCTGTTACCAGCCTCAGAATCCATCTGTTTAGTTCCTAATGACACAAATTACATTAAATGGGCAATTCTTCTCACCCTTTAGGAACTGTAACTGGTAAAATAACAAATTTCATGCTGAAGCCAGAAATACAGTATATCATATTCTGCACATTAAATAAAGGGTTGCATTAAAGTTTGGGAACTGAACTTCCCTTTAACTAACTAGCTGGCTTAGGAAACCCAAAGGTACATCACCAAATTAACCAAAGCTTATCTTCCCATCTATGTCTAGGTCTTCCCATTGGTCTCTTCCCCTTAGGCTTCCCAACAAATACCCAGTGCACATCTCTTGCTCCATCCATGAGCACCACATGCCCATCCATCTCATTCTTCTTAACTTAATCACCATGACAGTACTGGGGGAGGAGTACAAATTTTTAAGATTATGCAGTTTTCTCCATACCCCATCCTCCTCTCTGCTAGGCCCAAATATCCTCAACACCCTATTCTCAAACCTGAGGCGGACAGACCACGTTTCACACCCAAACAAAACAACAAGCAAAATTGTTTTACTTCACAAAACCAAAAATGTATCTGAACGTTTGCCCACAGCATCTCGTGTAATTAGCCAACTAAAATGTTTATAATTTGATTAAAGTCCTTTCACTTCAAGATACACTACAAATTAAGTACAAACTGAGGTTCTCTAGGCAGCGTGGAAAGCCGACTGTCGTCTGGCGTGTAGCGCCGTATATTCTGGGAGAAGTTTTCAAAGGTACTTACTGCCTCCATCGTCAGGGCGACGATGATGGAGAAAGCAAATACGTCTGAAAAGTCCGTGTATGTCTGCGAGACTAAACGGCACTACAAACCAGAAGGCAGCCAACTTCATGCATTAAAAACTGTTAAATTTCCATATGCACTGGTATACCTCTCTCCTAATGTTGTTTAATGGATATTGCATGGACATGAAGCTACCACCCTATTCGTAACCTCAAAGTCATACCATCCTCCTAAATAGCACCGCATTCTAGCACAGTTACAAATTACCAACATAACGCAAGCCTTTAGCTAATCGCCTGGCTTTAGCTGGTATAAACTGTTATTTTAGCGACATGTGGTAAACCATAATTCCATCTCTGTGACCACAAATTAAAACAAAAATATTGAATCTAGGAGCATGACATAGATAATCTGGTACGGATCACATCGTTATGATGGACCCAGATAACGCGGCTTTGCAACTACTTCATTTATGACCACTGGCGATGTTTCGTGATATCCATTGTGAGCAACCGAAATTCTTATAAATGGTTCAAAGATGTCAGTATATATGCTGACAAGTTTACCAAATAAAATTCCACACGCGACTCACTTCACACAGCTTGAGTGCAAGAACCGCTTGAGCATAATAAATGTATGTGCGTGAATGAGTTTTGTGTGCCCCGTACATTGAAAATGAAAAAGAAAGGTATAATGCCTGATGTACACGATTCCTTTGTATGACGGTGTTTATCGTATGTCGCTGAAATTGACACCCAGGTTAAGTGGAGCATGTTATGCAGTTATATCCATGTCAGCAGTACTGACATACAGATCAGTTTATCTTGCCATTCGCAATCCATAATTAAGTATGGGATAATTTTAAGAGGCAGTCCATCTAACAGCAAAATGATATTGATTGTACAAAATAAAATAGCTATGTTTTCAGAAGATGCAAAAATTTTAAGCAGGCATCAAAGCTTCCAACAGTTTAAGCATCTAGTCTCATAGGTCTTACAAAAAAAAAAAAGGCAAATTACACACCATGTACATAATTGATGAATTTCTAATTTTTACTTTTCTTTCCTTTATACAATACAAAATGAACAGATTATTTCATCTGCTGTAATGGGTAGATTTATTTGTAACATATCAATACTTTATTATGTGGTCTTTGCTGGTAATGTGGTCTTTATAATAGTGTGAATTATCCATGTATGTATTGTATTATGACTTATTCCACATCCTGTTATCTGGCAAACTTACAGGTCTATGGAATGTGTTACAGATGTATGACATATGTATTAATGTAAAGGCAACAGGTAGTTGTGCTTTTCAGCATAACCAGACCTTACTCCCACCACACATGACTGATGTATTGTTTTTGCTTCACAGAAATTGAAGAAGTTTTTGGTGGTATTCTGGAAAATGAGCAGGATGTGTCTGCGGGTATGGCTGCTATTAGAACGTTGTTAAATGTTTTAGAACGTGATACTTGTAAGTGTGTACTGTTTTACATGATTCAATTATGTGTTATACTACATTCCAAGTTCATATCTGATCCTGTTATCCTCCTTCATTTTGTAAAGATTAGCTTTGGGGACAAAGGCATTATTGAGCATATTTATCCTTGCTACACATAAGTGGTTATAATTTGAATTTTGTCTCCATTGTAAGTCCTTGGCATAATCTTATGAAGGATCTATGGAATGTATATAAATTATTATACTCTAATTAGCATTAAACAGAACACAGTAGAATTTATTTACATTCCATAGATCCTTCACAGGCCTAATCCAAAAGTGTAAAACATGTCATGGCACAAATACAATACTTGTTTGTTTGTATCAATGAATATGAACTTGGCCATTTCTGACTTACCACTGTAAATTTAAGTTACATGAAATTACACATAAAATGGCTGTTTCATCAAAATGAAAGAACTCACTAGGAAGGGTTATCCACAGAGCTATTCTGGAAATGGTAGTAAAAAGAAAAATTTGTACATCTGTGAGAATTAGAATCTGATAGTACATGCATATGTTTTACTTGGCATTGCTGAGAATATAGAGCTTTAATGGGGCTGGTTTGACTTCTAGACATCTTTGAGAAATTCAGCTATGTATTAATTATTTCATAATTCTTAAACACTTCCATAAACAGATTAATAGTAAATATCAATTTCTGCAGCAGAAACAGTTCAGGAATTAGACTCCAATCTCCAGGCAGCTGTGGATGCAATGAAGAATACAGATTATCCTGTCACAGCAGTTGCATCAGGCTGTGAACTGTTCCTACGATTCATTACTCTGGCAAAGCTTGATACTAAGGTAAACATTTGCTTAAGTTGGACAGAATTAACTATACTTGACTAAAGTAATTTTCAGTCAATGCTGTTCATCTTTATTTCAACAGACATTTGGGGAGTGTAAAAGCATCATGTTGCATCGTGGTCAGCTTTTCTTGAAGAAACTAATGGAAGCAAGAGGAAAAGTTGCAAAGTTGGCATCTTCTTTCATTGTTGATGGTTCTGTAAGTTTTAATATAAAATCTAGTTATTGTAGTGTTGGTCACTGTGTAATGAAATTAATTATGAAGTAAGATTTAGTAACTTTGTTTTGTGACTTTAGCGTGTCCTCACTCACTCCAAATCACGTGTTGTTCTGCATGGAATGAAAGAAGCAGCACGAGCTAACAAGAGGTTTGAGGTTTACATTACAATGTCATCGCCAGACAATAGTGGGTATGTATGTAAAGAATACAGAGACCAAAATGAAAGCAACTGTGGTTATAAAAATACCTCATTCAGTAGATTGTATATTCTAGGATGTCTGAAACTTCCACTGAGATAGCTGACTATAATTGCAGCGTGTATGAAATATTACAAGTAAAATGTTATTTAATTTGTGAAGCCTTGTTTCAGAATGCCACCATTTTATGAAAATGTTTTCTCAACAGTTGCATTAGTAAGTTAATATATGAAGAGCCTCAAATATCCCTTCAACTGTTCAGGCATCAGGGCAGCATACAAATAGCAGATGATGTTGGATTTTAAATTCAAAAGTATTTGAAATGTATTCTTTTTAAAATTTGACACATACATTTTTCATGTTTATAGTACTCGATTTTATACTACTTACATGAGTCATGATGTAATAAAAGCCAATTTCTTTGTGATATAATACAGAGTAGAAATGCGTCGGCTGCTTGAAGAAGAAAACATTCCCTGCACTGTGATACTTGATTCTGCTATTGGTTATGTCATGGAACAGGTAGACATGGTTATGGTTGGTGCAGAAGGTGTGGTTGAGAGTGGTGGTATTATCAACAAAGTGAGTAGTAGAAATGAAATAACCCAAAATAATGTCACTGTTTTTTAAGAGAGATTCATTTTATGTACTGTAAACTGTAAATATTAGGTCATTAAGACATAAATAAAATAAAAACAGCATTTATACCTGAACAGACTTAGGGTAATACATATAAAATAATCCAATGAGACTCAATTAATGTAATTCACAGAACAAATATATTTTCACATGCTTATTTTGTATGTCGATATATTTGTCTGGCATATTCATACCCTTTGTTTAGTTGATGAAATATTGTCTTAATAATGACCTGAAAATTGAAGTTTGTCAATATCTGTTTAATACCACAGTAGGTACATATGCACATATTTTGTGTTTAGGTGGGCAGCTATACAATGGCAGTATGTGCACGTGAAATGAAGAAGCCTTTCTATGTACTCACAGAAAGTTTTAAGTTTGTCCGACTCTATCCTCTCAATCAACGTGATTTGCCTAATGAATTCAAGGTGAGTATTCTGTTAATAACAGGTTTCCAATTAATGATATAATACTGGTATGTGTTACCTGCCTCACCATCAGAACTTTAACCACTATGCACTGTTTCAACTGCAGAAGTGATATAGTGCCAAAGGAATGGGAAGAGGATGATGAATAGTGAGTGTTTAAGGATTTGAAAGTAGATAGTCATACCTATTTGAAGATACTATTCTGGCATTCCCCTGGACAGACTGATGATAGCCCAAGTTAGGATAGCCAGTAGGTTATGTAGTGTGAAATAAAACTTGATTATGAATGGTTGCTAGATACAGATTTGGAAGGTGGTTATCATGGCCTGTTTTAAGGTATTGCAAGATATGCTCAGCTTTTCCACTATTCAATTCTAAAAATATTTATAACATTTACTGTATTGGTAATTATGGATATTTTGGAAAATGAAAGATTTAAGTATATAGTTCCTGTGAGCTGTAAAGTTTGGCCATATTACATACTTAAGAGTTTCAGGTGAAGTTTTTGACAAAATGCCCATGTTCCTTAGTTTTCTCATCTAGAATAAGAAGCTGGTTTTGATGATGATAAAATTGTTTTACAGTATACATCAAGCAAATTAGGCAGAGATCTGAGTAAGGAGCACCCTCTGGTAGACTACACCCCTCCAAGCTACATCACATTGCTTTTCACTGATCTGGGTATTCTTACACCATCTGCTGTGAGTGATGAACTTATCAAGCTCTATCTGTGAAATATTATCTGTAACCTAAACATTCTATAAAATACTTATTTTTACTGTACAAATAAATATGATTTACTTAAAACATCTTTAACTTAGTTGCTGACAAAATAGTGCCTGAATCCTGAAAATCAGATTTCCGTCCCTCGCAGCACTTCAATATTCCATTTTCCATCATGGATAATTTCATTATAGCAAGTCTTACAATAAAAATCTCATTATAAGAAGAATGTATCATATTCAATGATACACAAGTTCTTTGTATTTGTTTTCTATATAAATGAAACGCAGTCTTTTATTCACATATCTAAAAAAAAATTAGTTCTGAAAATTCCCACTACTGGTAAGTGAATGATTATGATGCTTACAAATTTTGTGCTGTCTTAGATATGTGCAAGAAGTTGATTTCCTTTCAGCATGAGCATACCTGGAAGCAATCACTATTTTTATTTTATTTTATACGACCCATTCTTCAGTTCCTGAGCATCTGCAGGTCCCAACTTTTTGTTGGCTCTGAACTATAGACAGTTGGTAGACTCCTTGGACGAGAGATTGGCCCGTCGCAAGGCCTCTACCTGTACACAGGACAGCACAACACAGAAAGTTGCGGACAAACATCCATGTTTTGAGTGGGATTCGAACCTACGATCCCAGTGACCAAGCGGCTCAGACCACGTGGCCACTGTGACAACAGCAATCACTATTAATTCCCTAATTAGGAACAGGATTGTGTCCCTTAGTTTTCTGATGTGGGACAGGGTTCAATACCCTTCTCACCATAATCCCCTTTCTGACACATACTTTACCAATTTCAAGGTGATCATTTTCATCATTCCTGCCTCACAGGTATCTTTAATATAACAAACATGTGTGGTATTAGTAATTTTAATTTTATTACATAATATATTAATCGGCTTATGCAGTCTTATTATAATTTCTGAATCTTACACATATCACATGGTAGAAGGGAATTATGCCATAGAAAAAAATTGTAAAACTGAACATTCTTGTCAAACAAAAATGAGTACACAGGCCAGATGACACAAGTGTATGACATTAACACTGGAAGAGTTAAGTATAGTAATAAACACAAACTGCAAGGAATAAAATATTTAATGAAATAGTAAACTGTATATACAAAGTCAATAGTACTGGACTAAAAATGAATGTACTCCACAGGAGCTGTTTCTGCAGTTACTGTAATAATGAATTGCTGCCGTTTTCCTGCTTTATAAATTCACTCAGTGAATGTAGTCTACAGGAGCACCAAATTCTCTTGAGCATTGTTAAGTATTCATCACATGAATTCATACAAATATTTCTGTATGTTGAAATTAACAGTCCTGAAACAAGAATAAGCCAAAGGAAAATTGTATTCATCTCATAACATGCAAGTCATATTGACAAATGTCAGTGTGATGTACAAATCCATTGGACTATAAGAGAAGTCAATGACACATACCTAAACATCCTGTCTTTTGTAACTAATGTTTGCTTTAAACTCATTCCTGAGAAGCACACTGAATGCAATATCAAAGCTCACTTCACATCCTCTGTTACACAAAATACTGATAAAGGTAAGAGTAACTGACTTCTTGGTGCAGGTCCTGTCTTCAAAAGCTGATACTGTATTTAGTCAAATTTTGGTCTGCTTTAATCTCACACACACACACACACACCACATGAGTAAAAAAAAAACTGTGGTAATTTTAAGAACTTGGATATAACATACAAAAATACAAAATATCATCACAACAAAGCCTGCTGGACAGCTTTCTGTTTCATCTTTTCCCACATTATAGATATAATGAACTCTTAATAACTAGTCACTGTTACTAACCTTGCAACAGTATTGATAAATTCAAAGTCCACAGCACACTTATATCGTGGTAAGTCAATGTTATCATCACCAACTGCTGTGAGTAGCTGCAGTCTCACCAGAGATGACATCTGCGCCAACAGAAGCAAAAATCACAGAGAATTTTACTTCTTGTTATGCAAATTCACATACTTGACACTGTATGTATTTCTTTCACGAATTATACAACTCAGACTTAACCTAGCATCTTGGGACCCCTTTTGATTTTAATCAACATGATTTGAAAGCAAGCACCAAAATTTTAAAAGCTGAACCACAATTATTTTAAAAGTTGCTTTGAACACACAACTACAAATTTTTCACTTACTGCTAAGCTTAGTATTTTTGCCATGTAGTACATAACAGGAGTGTATAATATATTACTCCTACTGTCATAGTGAGTAAGGACCTGTCACCTAGGATGGGTTATCTACTGTTCTGGGATTAAGAACAGGTAGTAACACTGAAAAACAAGCGTGAAAGGTGCACAGTGGGCAGTACAACTGAACTTATATACAAATAAACCTGTTCTTCAAGGCACAGTTTAATCAAAACATGTACCAACTACAAAAGTAAAAGGGATTCATAAATAGTTAAAATTAGAAATGAATTTCTTTGTAATTTTAAATTAAAACAATCAATCTGTGCAATGTCATAAAAATTATGTTAATGAAAAGTGAATACAAAATTATTAAGTTATGTTACCTCTTCATAAAGAAAACTCCAGCAACAAAGTTCAAAATGTTGGACCCTGAAATACTGCTTTACAGAGTTTCTATGTTATTCTTGGTCTAAGGTTTCATACAGAAACACCAGCAATTGAAGAAAGCAATGTTAGTCTGGCATCAGTTGCGTTGTTTTACCTGAGACAAAAGACTGGCTGTCAGGTTCACATCCTCTCCAATGATGGCATAAAATATTGCAAGAAGCCTGTCTAATGCAAATGGTTTGGGACCCAACAGTTGCTCTGCTAGTTTTTTCTGCTGTTGCTTCTTCTTGCGCTCTTTCCCATGATTTTTCACAAAAAGACGACGGTCAGCCTTTGCAGGGTTGTAAGATGCCAAGTATGAAGCAATTAGGAAGAACTTGGCATAGTAAGGTAGATCAAAACTCAGAACATATGTTGCAGATGAAGACAATGCTGTTGACTTGGTAGGCTCTTCCTGGCCATAACTTTAAACAGGTGAAAAGTTACAAACACAATATTCTGACATCTTGTTATTGAGATATAATGATAAATTTCATGTAAGACACACTCAACTGCAAATCATTTTTTTCCTGATACTGACCTCTGCATTCTTAAATATGAGAGTATCATATCAAGACTCTGTACCACCAGTACCTATTGTCAATACGAAACAGAAAACCACTGTCTATATTTTACATGGGTGTCTAAATCTAGGAGGCTATGATGATCTGGGCAAGAAGCTAGGATGGTGGACATAAAAAATGCATACAGGATTTTTATGGCAAAAATCTCTTGCAAAATGACCATTTGCAAGACCAAGGAATTGGGGGAAGTAACATTAAAATGGGTCTGAGGGAAGTACATTGTGATAAAAGGGGTGTGTATAGAACTAGCTCAGGTTCACGTCCAATTCTTTTTGTGTGTGTATGCAGATGTTACCTGGACACTGTCCTGAGATACAACTGCGCCAATGATGACCTGAGATGTGGTGTTACGTGTCTCCACAGTTTGTTAACATCGTCCATCTGTGTCTCTCCCTTTAGTACTGGATCACAATATTTTGGAAAATTCAGCTGAGCCTGCAACATAATACAAAACTGCAGTTCATTTAAGACTAGCTAGTCACCAAATAAAGTGGCTGAGTGTTCAGTCTTCATGCTTTGTATCAGGGAAACAATCTATCCTAAATGAGGTACTACAAGATTTCCTTTAGGTATTCCAAGCAAATTCTGACATACTTGTAGTACCTTGAAATTATCAAGATCACTTCCTTATACATCCTTTCCAATGCATAATTTACAATAAACCTCCCATTTAATGTTGCATTAACCCATAATCCAAGAAACAAACATTCAGTGTTTTGTTATATTAAAACTGAGGCAAGGCAATCTGGAAATTTAAGTAGGTAAGATAGGGAAGACAGACTAACTTAAGCAAAGAGCTTGACAATATAAACAAAATCTTTATATTCCATTTTTGTCTGTATAATAAGGTTCCAGTTTCAGTTAAGTCCTCTTACCATTCTTACTTTTAATTTACTTCTCTGTAATGTGTTAACCAAAACTGAAAAATGTGCATTCAGGTTGAAGAACCAAGACAAGAATAAAAATACAAAATAAAACATGTTGTTTACAGTTCCTTGTCATCAAACTTGTTATACATTGAAATGTCAATAATATGAGATATAAGGTAGCGAAAAGTAATTAACAGAATATTTGACTCTCTGTGGAGAAGCATTGAAACTTACATTTTACAGAACAAGAGTATGTTTACCATATGCCAGCATCCAGAAATTATTGTTTTCTACAGTACTGGCAAAAGAACACATAATTTTTCCATAAAAAACATAAAATAAATATTTTTGTCACTTATAATGTTCTTCACAAACAGCCCTTATTTCATTCCCTGTCCAGCTTAAAATATGGAATCTACATAATTCATCCTCTTTTCAATCTAAATTAATCTCGTTCGAAACACGTTCAAACTACTAACTTCAGAGATGAAGAAGTTAAAGGATGATAACTGGGAACAGTTACAAAAATTATTACAAGTTGGATCTTCTCAATATAAACAATGAACAAACAAAATATTTTATTGCATAATCAAATGGCACATAATTCCTCTACCATAATAATTACATTTATTCCCTGATGCTAAAACCAAAGAAATACAAATCAGAAATGTGACCTGGTAGCCATTCACATGTACAGGCTGCAAACTTATGTGAACAGTAAAATAATAAAGGCATCTGGTCTGTACCCATTTTCTATCAATTGCTAAATCATGGCTTTCCCATGCCAGTCCCTTGTGAAAGCCATTGTGTTTGTGATTTCATACAGAAACACCAGCAATTGAAGAAAGCAATGTTAGTCTGGCATCAGTTGCGTTGTTTTACCTGAGACAAAAGACTGGCTGTCAGGTTCACATCCTCTCCAATGATGGCATAAAATATTGCAAGAAGCCTGTCTAATGCAAATGGTTTGGGACCCAACAGTTGCTCTGCTAGTTTTTTCTGCTGTTGCTTCTTCTTGCGCTCTTTCCCATGATTTTTCACAAAAAGACGACGGTCAGCCTTTGCAGGGTTGTAAGATGCCAAGTATGAAGCAATTAGGAAGAACTTGGCATAGTAAGGTAGATCAAAACTCAGAACATATGTTGCAGATGAAGACAATGCTGTTGACTTGGTAGGCTCTTCCTGGCCATAACTTTAAACAGGTGAAAAGTTACAAACACAATATTCTGACATCTTGTTATTGAGATATAATGATAAATTTCATGTAAGACACACTCAACTGCAAATCATTTTTTTCCTGATACTGACCTCTGCATTCTTAAATATGAGAGTATCATATCAAGACTCTGTACCACCAGTACCTATTGTCAATACGAAACAGAAAACCACTGTCTATATTTTACATGGGTGTCTAAATCTAGGAGGCTATGATGATCTGGGCAAGAAGCTAGGATGGTGGACATAAAAAATGCATACAGGATTTTTATGGCAAAAATCTCTTGCAAAATGACCATTTGCAAGACCAAGGAATTGGGGGAAGTAACATTAAAATGGGTCTGAGGGAAGTACATTGTGATAAAAGGGGTGTGTATAGAACTAGCTCAGGTTCACGTCCAATTCTTTTTGTGTGTGTATGCAGATGTTACCTGGACACTGTCCTGAGATACAACTGCGCCAATGATGACCTGAGATGTGGTGTTACGTGTCTCCACAGTTTGTTAACATCGTCCATCTGTGTCTCTCCCTTTAGTACTGGATCACAATATTTTGGAAAATTCAGCTGAGCCTGCAACATAATACAAAACTGCAGTTCATTTAAGACTAGCTAGTCACCAAATAAAGTGGCTGAGTGTTCAGTCTTCATGCTTTGTATCAGGGAAACAATCTATCCTAAATGAGGTACTACAAGATTTCCTTTAGGTATTCCAAGCAAATTCTGACATACTTGTAGTACCTTGAAATTATCAAGATCACTTCCTTATACATCCTTTCCAATGCATAATTTACAATAAACCTCCCATTTAATGTTGCATTAACCCATAATCCAAGAAACAAACATTCAGTGTTTTGTTATATTAAAACTGAGGCAAGGCAATCTGGAAATTTAAGTAGGTAAGATAGGGAAGACAGACTAACTTAAGCAAAGAGCTTGACAATATAAACAAAATCTTTATATTCCATTTTTGTCTGTATAATAAGGTTCCAGTTTCAGTTAAGTCCTCTTACCATTCTTACTTTTAATTTACTTCTCTGTAATGTGTTAACCAAAACTGAAAAATGTGCATTCAGGTTGAAGAACCAAGACAAGAATAAAAATACAAAATAAAACATGTTGTTTACAGTTCCTTGTCATCAAACTTGTTATACATTGAAATGTCAATAATATGAGATATAAGGTAGCGAAAAGTAATTAACAGAATATTTGACTCTCTGTGGAGAAGCATTGAAACTTACATTTTACAGAACAAGAGTATGTTTACCATATGCCAGCATCCAGAAATTATTGTTTTCTACAGTACTGGCAAAAGAACACATAATTTTTCCATAAAAAACATAAAATAAATATTTTTGTCACTTATAATGTTCTTCACAAACAGCCCTTATTTCATTCCCTGTCCAGCTTAAAATATGGAATCTACATAATTCATCCTCTTTTCAATCTAAATTAATCTCGTTCGAAACACGTTCAAACTACTAACTTCAGAGATGAAGAAGTTAAAGGATGATAACTGGGAACAGTTACAAAAATTATTACAAGTTGGATCTTCTCAATATAAACAATGAACAAACAAAATATTTTATTGCATAATCAAATGGCACATAATTCCTCTACCATAATAATTACATTTATTCCCTGATGCTAAAACCAAAGAAATACAAATCAGAAATGTGACCTGGTAGCCATTCACATGTACAGGCTGCAAACTTATGTGAACAGTAAAATAATAAAGGCATCTGGTCTGTACCCATTTTCTATCAATTGCTAAATCATGGCTTTCCCATGCCAGTCCCTTGTGAAAGCCATTGTGTTTGTGAGAGTGTGTGTGTATATATATATATATAAATATTTTTTTAAATACACATCTACCAATGAACATGCAGTTCTCTTCACCAACTCAGAAAAGTGGCTGAAAGGAAGGTCTGATAATGACTAACATTTCCAATACATTCATACTTACCATATGTCTCAATTCATTTAGGTCTCGGCATGCTCTTTGAAAGATACCCAGGAACAGCTTCACATAACTGCAGTAGAAGTCATTAGGCCATCTGCCTCCTGGTGGATGATCCCGCAACAAAATTTCCACCAGCTCATCTACTGGCAATATAAGTCACTAATTCACAAATACACAGAACTAAAAAACTATATATCACTGGAGTGCTGAGTATGTAACTGAAGTTCGCAGTTAAAAGAAGTCTAGTGGAGGAGAAATTAAAACCCCCATCAAACAAAAGATTATAATATTTGACAATCAAAATTTCTTAGTAGACAGGAATCACATTACTATGTTCATGACTCAGATTTTGAATAATACAGTAACTATAAGACACATGATTTTCTTCCCTGTTTTAAAATTCTCAGTCTTCTTCCAACATACCTTTCGTATATTGTGGGAAATGAATTTGTATTGGCTCTTGGAAGCCTTCCCTAATACGAAATTTTTCCCACACAACGTCACTGAGGAAAAAGACACATATATTGTTTAACTTCGTCAATTCTTGAAGTCGAAGGAATGCTGGGAGAAGGTTGGCATCCATATCTCGAAGTTTTTCACATTTGTCCAGAACCTGGGGGAAAAAACATGTTTCTAGAAAAGTATTTCACTGCACAATACAGTACATTAATTTTCCACCTATGTGAACATTTCTGAGATTTTCTACTGTCATCAACCATATCATGTAGACATAAGCAGTATTAGTATAATGATACAATTTAAATATATCACATTAGGTTCTAAAATAATGTTCATTTTTGTTATTAAGCCATAAACATATCAGGTAAAACGTGAATTAAAATCAAGGCAGATATGATACACAGGACATGCAGCACATAAAACAAATAAATACACAAAATTTTTGATGCAAAATCTCAAGGAAAGGCACCACTGGGAGACCTAGGCACAGATGAGAGGATAGTATTCTTATTAACATGGAACAAAATATTGGAGTGTAGACTGGATTCACCTGGTTCAGGACAGGATCAAGTGCAGGCACTTGTAATCATGGTAATAAACCCTTCATAATGTGCCCATTTCAGTCGGATTCACCTGGTTCAGGACAGGATCAACTGCAGGCACTTGTAATCATGGTAATGAACCCTTCATAATGTGCCCATTTCAGTTAAAAAACAAATAAAAAATCTGTTATAGTTTGGTCAAAAACAGTAACAAGAATTACTCAGTATGTAATGGCACTACAGATGACACAAAGTTCAAGACATCCAGGGGAAGAATGTAAAATAACCAACAATAGTATAGGTTATGACAAATGGGAAATTAATGTCTGAAAGAATCTTATTTTAACAAAGTGAATATAAGTATAGAAAGTTCAAAAACTGTTCTCGATACATTGAATATCTACAAGGTTTTGCGCCCAGTGTGTTTTGGCTGCTATTAATATAGTGCTGTACTGACAGAAACTTACAATTATACATGGTTTCTTCTCTTGGGCAACAATCTTTGAATCTCTGAGGCAACTGACAAAATCCATCATATAGTCACAGCTAGCATATGGGACATACTTCTTTGCACATGACAGTTCATGACCTGAAAATAAAACAAGATACATACATCTTTACATTGTGCACTTAATTTGTTTACAAAAGCATTTCATGTAATTCAATTTCAATTGAATCTTCACTGTAACTTGTAGTTATAACATAGAACTGAGACAGGAAGGAATTAATTATTTATGGAATTGTATCAGTGCTCTTAAGTATGCAACTGATTATATCCAAGTTCCAATGAAAAACACAAGTTATTATGTGGAACTTTCAAGCATGTCTGCATGTTATGCAAGTCACTTTCAATTTTATAATTACTTAATTATTAACTCTCATATCTTTACAATACAATGTAAAAGAGTAGGTTTAAGAGTTTCTTATACTGCAAATATAAAATGGCTGATTATGGATAACTCATGTTCAATTGAGGAAGTATTTATTATACCACAGTTGGTACAAAAATTACAGTCACAATTACCATGTATCTTGTTCAGTATTGGTTCAAAAAGTAACTGTGGCATGTAGCATTCAATACAGTTCACCACAGCATGGCTGTACTGCAGTGCCTCCAGTATGTGGCTCACGACCAATGTCTTTCCTGTTGCAGTATGGCCATACACAAATACTGCAGGTGGCAATGGTTCTCCTGGCTAATAAATGTGACATACAATATTTAGCCAAAAGCATCTATGAGTTGATGAATATTTTTATATTACAGTAAACTCTTGTCAAACACTAGGGATATGTACAATGGAAGCAAAACATCTGGTGAATTTGGATTGGATAAACTTCATATTGTATGGAATTAATGGGGATATGGAAACATGGTTATGTAAAATTGAAGTAAATACAAAACAAAATCATAAATATACTCTAATAATATTTATTTATGAGCATATTGTGTAATATAATAAAGTACCTTCAGAAAGTTAAGCATTAAAGTAAATTATCAGCAGAAAGTTTGACTTTAAAATAAGATATCAGTGGAATGTTAGGTATTAAAATAAAATATTAGCATACAATTAGGCATCAAACTCCATCACATTGGCCATCATTAGCTTTCTAAATAGTAGTGGCATATTTTGCATGATGCTACAGCATCTTCGGCAGACCACACATAAATGAGTTTTCTGTATTCAGCAAATAATTGTTAGCATTTATTTTCATATGTATAATGAAACCTGTGTTGGAAAAATCCATGTTGGATGACAGATGGCTGTAGTTCAGTAAGGAAAGTACCTTAGTGACACTACCATAGCCAGTGGCAGCTTTAAAGGTTATGAAATTCCTCTCAAGTGGTCTCTCATTTTGCACCTCTCCATCCATCTTTCAAAAAACATATAGTACTTACCTTACCTTCAGTAGATTGTTTTATAATCAGAATATATCTAATCCATTACACAAGTCTTACTAGATTTCTTTTGAACATACCTGTCCAATCAGTTCCATGATGCAAGAAATTTGATAATTTCTGCAAGGAATATCCTGACAAAGCATCTTCTGCATGATTACTGCAATTTTCAAGAATAAGATTTGCTATCAAACACAAATGAAGTGGGGTGTTGAAAAACATGGGAGTTCTTCAAGGTTCAGTACTTGGTACTCTGCTGTTTCCCCTTCAGTTAACAACTAGTTTTTTTAAGGCAAGGAAGGTTGCATGGAATGAATGTAATATAATTAAACAACTTTAAAAGCTCCAAATAAATTAAGAAATATACAATATAAACACAACTATACTACAAATACTACCGTTAAATGCCAAATGGTAACCTCACTATGTATCGGAAAGGAGTGCACTATACTGGAATCGTTATTCAATAAGATTCATTAAAAGTTCACCTTGTTCTGGATAATACAATGTCTAATAGCTATAACAACCAATTATATATCTTTTTCTGTATTTATATAAACTGCATACAGTTTATGTAGTCCTACGTTTTTGCATTAGGTCAAATGAAACATCTACGGATCTAATTACCATACTAACTCTAAATTTAATCCACATACCACTCTTTAACTGAACGACACTGAAAATATGAACATTGCAAACTGCCTTTTGCTACAATTCATTTACAAACATTCTATTCCTTTCATCACAAAATAAGGTCAAGAATGCCAAACGAAGAAATGATAAAGCACTATACCAGTTTTATAAATTTGCCGTTACATTTACAATAAGTAGCTAATGAAAAAACTAAAATGAATCACAACGTACAGAAATAACACATTTCCCGCCTTTGTAGGCAAAGTTCACAGAAAACTGATTAAATAATATATTAATCTACACATATGAAACATAGAGACACCAAGATAGCATATACTTTAGTCAAAGAGGTCGATTGGAATCATAGTTTTCATACTTTAATTTTGAATGGATTATATCATTGCTACAGAGCGTAATTAATCTATGCTCGTACATCGACTGTTGCCTAGGTGTCTCAAACTGATGTATTGAAAATATTCGCCAGATATTACTATACTGTAAACTTTACCTGTGACAACAGCTGCGTCCATATGTGGAAACATAACCTAAAAGTATTGTTTATGTTGTATTGTAATTGCTTTTGCGTTAATTGTGTTCATCAAGTAATTCACTAAGTTGTAATAGTTTCGAATGGCATGGACATGATCTCAGATGTGGAGTATTATTACTTTTTGCTTCTTGTTATTGTACCAGTCTATTTATTTTTTTCACTCTGGGCATGGCTGGGTTGGGAATTATTCAGGAATAACTAGCAATGAATTGGGTAATTGAGCAATGATAAGGAATAAGTTTACGTTTCACGTGGATGTTAATTTAAGATTCAAGTTGATGCCCTTACGTCAGGGAAATATAAGGTTTTGGCCTGCAAATGTTGCATAGAACACATTTTCAGAGCAAAACTCTAATTCCAGAGCCAGGGTGCAAGACATGAAGACACAAATTTTGTACAGTGCGGCCTGTAACGGTGCAGTCGAAGTGTGGTTTCGTTCGTATTCATATACTTGTTACACGTCACAGCTTTAAGAATTTGACTTTTTTTTTAATAAGTACATTATGATGTCAAACTTTGTCTGATGTATAACAGTCAAAGGTAATTGAAAATTACATTGTTGTCACACTGACAATACCCCTGAGCTCATTTTTAAGGAATGACCATCATAATTTATCTCTCTGATGTAATACTTTGTCTGACAGTAATGGTTGCATATATAATTTAATGTAAATAACATTAATGTAATATTCATACATGTAACTATTGACATTGTTTCAGTAATGGACATGTTTTAAGCATAGTAAAACTTTGGCTCTCTTTGAATATAATGTAAAACTGATAAACTGTTAATAGTTTACAGAATTTTGTCATTTATTTTATTCTTGGGAACTGTTTTTGTTTGTATGTCCTATAACTCTATAAAAATGATTTTCATAAAACAGAAGTAAAATTGTTACCATTATACTATCCTAGAACCTAACCCAACATTATTACATGTGGGAACAGTACTGAGTAAACTGTCAGCTCAGTTCACTAATCAATGTCAATGTCAATAAACAGTTTGTTTATTGACATTGTTGTGCTGCTCTCACAGCAACACTTTACAATATGTTGCTCATGTGTCAACCTTCACTGTTTGCAATCCACTGTCTCTCACTCAGTTGCATATTATGAAAATCCTTCTGGTCAAGATTCAAGGATGATTGGCAAGTCCTTCCAAATTGTTGCAACAAATCTACATCCTACCTAGAACTGCTAACTCTTTATAAAACAGAATACATATAAAAAGAGAGGAATTCACACCTACAAACCCTGAAGAACACAATGGTAAAAGATTATCATTCCTACAATAAACTGGCAATACCAAAGTTTTGTTTCATTTTTATGTATAGGAAAAGTTTTATTTTTACACTGATGTTATAAGATTAACAAACAACAAACCTCTTCACAAAAAGATTTTGTTTTAATAATTGCATACAGTAGATAAAGTGCAGAACACATGGAGACTCTGTAGCTCCTTCTAAATCTGATATGTCTGATACAAAATTCAAATTGTTCATGAACTTTAGATAGTAAAGAAAACATAAAAAAATTATGTAAGATTTGAGGTTTTCACAGCGGTGAGTATGAAGATTTCTGTCTTCTGGGTTGTTGCACTGTGTAGTCTGGTAAACATCAATCAGACTACACAGCGCAACAACCCAGAAGACAGAAATATTCATAAAGAAATTAAATTTTCTCAATTATGCTCCCTGGATAATACACCTCGTGATATAAGATCAGATTAATTTTTTTTTGTGTAATTATTTAATGGTTATGTTGCAACTGTTGATATGCTTTCTTTTTGCTGTGTGATATATTTTAAAAATGAAAGTGTATTAAAATAAATTAAAGTTTCCTTTAGGCTATCTTTGAGTCTGGGTTAAAAAAGGCATGTCTGCATATCCCCCCAACCCCCCAAAAATATTACCATGAGATCTTGATTTCTATATCTTCGCTACTTTTTCTCAAATACTCCATCCTGTTTTCTCAACGAAAGCCAATTAAAATTCATTCATAGTGCCATATAATAGAATGTTACTTGCTAACATATATTACTACACCCTAACCTGCTACTAGAATGCAGTTAACTATTCAATGAATATGGATGCATGCCTAATCTCATTGATGTTTTATTATGCATGTTTAGGATAGTTTCATAATATTATGGACAGGATGTGAGTGTGCCTCAAACTATACTTCATCTATAATCATATTAAGGCTGAGAAAATAATTGTATTTTGTAGTTAAAGAGTACATGAATGTCTGAATAACCATATACAAAGGTGGTGTGAGGTATGACACCAACAGACATGAATTCTGCAATTTCTGTATTTGGTTAACTGCATTCCCATTAATCTTCTTCCTCCTGAGATGTTTCCACTTTGTGGTTCACTTGCCCCATTTAATACCTCTTGGTTTTAAGGCTGAATTTCAGTGATACCAAATCAGTAATCTCAGTGTTAAATTTACTTCCTAGTGTTCAAATCCATTGTCCACCCATAAATAGCTTCAATGGGTGAAATCAGTACACACACTCAGGTTTCTATTAAAAAAACATATTTCTATTCCCAAGCAAAGGTAAATTTTGTGTAATTTCAAATGTAACAAAACAACTAAGTTTCCTTTGTTGATCATTCGTATTCTCACAAATTGTATCAGTACATTTCAATACAAAAAGTCTGGATAGAAAAATTACATAAGCAAACATCTGTATATTACTTAAAAAAATTAAATATGCTGAGCTATTTACTTAATTCACTGACATGACTTTTTATTATTTCCACATCAGGATGAATATGTAGCACTACAAAGCTTGTAAACATAGGCACATTATGCAAAGAACAAACAGGAAGCTTGTTCTGTCCTAACGGAATTAAGTTCACTGGGCCATCTACTACAGTTTATTTGTTTTACAAGAAAGACTCAATATATCCCTACAAGAACAATCAACCCCTACCTCTTTGACAGCTGATTCACATAATGATTGGTTTATCTTTAAGTTACTGTATTAATAAAATGGAACTGCTAAAGCTATAGTACATAATGTACTTCACTCCTGAGCCAAATGGACAACAAAGCTTATATATTAATAAACAAAACCAGATATAAATACTTACAAATTTTTATACTGCTGAGCATAAATACCTGTAAATGCGACACTTTCAAAACTTCTGCAAGGAAGCTAGGTCCTACCATTATTTCATTTTGTGTAACATTTTACATGCTCAGTGTTCAAAGAACAAGTGGCACAAAATGGGATACACCAAGATGAAACCATCCTAAATTTTTCTGTGTAAATGTAAAAAAATTAAGTTAATGACACTGCACCAAGTGTACTTGTACTGTTTCCAAAACAGAAGTCGACTGTAGAATCCCAGGAATATGTAATCACAAGTCAGACACTGGGAATGTCACATTAATCTCATTTCTATTATATCATTGTAACACTTTTTATCTTCCCAAATTTTATGCTCTAATAATTACAGAAATATATTATTCCTTTCATGTAAGTCACTGCATAGTTACTCAAACCTAACAAAAGAGCAAGTTGCCAATGTGGAAAAATAAATGTGGCTCCTGTGCCTTCTTATAATCAAATTGCTTTGTACAAGTCACTTTTTAAAGCCTCTGTCACACAGTTTCAACCATTCCTCTCCTGCGAGTCTTCCTCTCGTCTTTATCTATTGCTTCATTCTCAGATGGCAACTGTGTAAATGATGTCTCTTCAGATGGTGGTGCTGGAGGTCTCTCATTGCCCACTGCTGCCACTGGGGGCTCTAGTGTTGGTACTGTAACTGTTGGCAGAGGCTCTGTAGTTCCAACTGGAGCTGCTGGAGATAAGCTTGGGAAAGAAGGTCGTCTGGATGGGAACTGTGATGCCCCATTATTTACTTCTGGAGCAGGACTTGCTACACTACTAATACCACCTCGAGGTTTAAGCTATAAGTTTAAAACAAGTTTTAAATGGCAAAACAAACATCTTAATTCATTTAAATCTATTGAATATTACGTATATTAACATATGAAACCTATATTTCATAACACAAGATAAAAATACAAGGAAAATTTAACATAAAGAAGTAGAAATGACAAAAAGAATCATGTCATGATAAACAGTAAATGGTACAAGAATTTTAAGTGATGAATATTGTACAAAAATGAGAGGAACCAATGAATGAATTAATGGAATTCTTAAGTGGCAGGACAAATATTAGGAGGACAGGAAAATACAACAAATTTTACATTCCTTTGCATTACTTAAATTGTATGATAAAGCATTTTTAATGTTGCTGATAGGTGCTAACTGATCAAATCCATTTCATATTTTTAAAGAAACGTAGCATTTACCACTTTTGATTCTTCTGTATTGCTATACTATAATGTGAAATATCAAAAGATAAATGTATTTAAAAACCTATCATAGATGTGTAGATGGATAGTTAAGGTTACACAAACAGATGTTGCTGCACGTCTAATTTTACTTTACACAGTGACTTCTGAGCATCATTAAAAGTCTTACAGATACTATTATAATGACAAAGATCATGTAATATATTAGCAGGTAAATGTATTGCAGACACTTGCCTTTGAGCCCATGTCTTCCAGTGGAATTTCCTCACTTCGTGGTCGAGGCAGTTTTGGGGATCCTTCTCGAGATCGAACCACATGTCCACTATGAGCTAAACGTTCTGAAACCATCATACCCATTTCCACCAATCATGTAAAATAACAGGTGGAATAAGAATGATCTTATACCGATTTAGTAAACAAAATGTACTACTTGAAATTATATATTTGTATACACAAATAATCTCCATACATTAGCAGAGGAAATGTTCACCTTGCGAGTCTGAACGTTTGTTCGTCGGAGAAAATCTTCCAGGAGGAGGCAGGCTCTCTCTCCTCATGGCCACAGTGGCAAATCCAGGAACCTTGGTATTTGCAGTGAACAACGGACGATGATAACTAGGTTCTCGACCCAGGCGACTGCTTGCAAGCCCTAAACAAAGGTGTGTAAAACAAGTGCTTACCTCAGATTCCTGTACACAAGGTAAAGGTTAAATGCATTGGTAGGCGGCTTCAGGGAACTTGCAGTATGCAGTCATACCCAATGTATAAAAATGGAAACAATGCTAAAAAAACAATACGGTGAGGAATTGCTGCACAACCAGCGATGTGTGACTCAGTGCGTTATTGTGATGCAGAAATCACCCACCCTGCCACTTGTCGCGCCGATTCCCCCGAACTGCTTCGCGCAACCTTTGCAACACTTCCACGTAGAAATGACCCATAACAGTCTGTCCAGGCAGTACGAACTCATGGTGCACCACACCGTCGATGTCACAGAATGCCACGAGCATCACTATTTCCTAGGATCGGACGAGGCGTGATTTCTTTGGTCGGGGAGACGATGCTGTGTGCCACTCGGATGACTGCATCTTCATCTCCGGGTCGTAGGCGAACACCCATGACTCGTCACCAGTGACGATCTTTGTGAGAAATGTCGGGTACTGCGTACTTTTCTCAAACAGATCTCCAGCGACCATCGTGCGACATTCCATCTGATCCGTAGTCAGCTGCCTCGGAACGAACTTCGCACTGACACGTCTCATCTTCAAATCGTCAGACAGAGTCGCATGAATGGATCCGTGAGAGATACCAACTTCATGCTCCAACTCCACGATGGTCATCCTGCGATCAGATAGAATCAGTTGTCGCACTTGTTCAATCGTTTCCGCAGTTCTGGATGTCGAAGGCCACCCGCTGTGCTGGTCATCCACCATCTCCTGTCCATTCTTAAAACCGGGAAAACCAGTCGTAAACTGAGATTTCTTTAGTGCAGTATCACCATAAACTTGCTGCAGGGCCAATAGTCTATGCAGCAGATTTGCCCAATTTGCACATGAACTTGATGTTCACACGCTGTTTGAACTGCGACATTGTGCCGAATGACCTACACCCACGTCTAACTGAAACGGAACAGTAACGACACGGCACGCCGAAACCTGTCCAGACCTGTTGCCACTGCGAGCGGGCATGCTCAGCTGCCCACCACAACATTTGCGTGTGCTATCTTATCTCTTATTCTTCGTCTGCAGGGGAATTCCGGGAACTTTTTGACTGCCCTACGTAATAATCAGCAGATACACATTACAGTGGAACAACTAAACCAACAGTAAGTACATGATTACTGGTGTTTATACCACCTGGGTTTCCAGCAGAGAACTGTATCAGTGTACACTATAATGGTTTGTTCTCCACATTTAGACTTGCATATAGGGGCTGTGATAAAAAAATCTCTGTAGAGACATACAAGTTTGGAGCAGTACAGCGATATAGAAACAGTTCCTGGGGTGACTGTCAGTCAGACAGGAGTTACAAACTTGTAGGTTCTTAATGCTATAAGAAAAGAACCTGTTGTGTCAATCATGAATAGACACAGCAGGACTGAAGTCCTGAGTGGGGATAATGCAGCACAGAAAGGGCAATGGTAGTGAAGATGGGATGAAAAAATGAATGACAAAGAAAGATGATGTGTGAGAGTGAATGAAGAATGCATAGTATGATGAAACAGAAAACATGAGAGCCTCACTTGCAACTGTGAATTGATGTTTTTGTATGTGCACTTGTGTACTTGAACATTTCAACACATTTTCTTCATGTTTTGGATGTGTTTACATCCCACATGGGAACTTCCATAACATAACCTTAATAACTGACAGTACATAATATGAAGATGGAAATTAAAAATAGTGACTTCCTAAGAATGTCTCCAATAGTTTTCACAATGGTTATAAAGAATATCACCCGAAATAATACTACATTAGCCATAAGGCACAAAGACTATACAAAAAGCATGAGTTTGTTCTTTTGACAGCAACAATATAATGTCATTTTTATGAGTGTCAGAGACCAGATGTTTTGAAGGTGACAGAACTTGATCTTTTACAGAACCTTCAGTACTACTGTGCCATCCCATGCTGTAACAGAATAAGAGCACTCACGTGAGGTGGTTGCAAGTACAGTGTAGGCTGGTGGTGAGGGACAAGACTGGACAATACTGGGCAAATCCAGCAACTGTGCAATCATATGCATCTTCTTCTGCCGGGCCTTGATGCGACCCTTTGTCAATCTGTAACAAAAATATCAACTTTACCTATTACACTATAAGTTATAAATTACACACATTGTGTATCCCAGTCAGATGAGCATACAAAAGATACAGAATTATGTTAATAAAGTGACCAGAATGAATAAAAAGTGAAGTGGACAAACTGAAATTCATATGTTATACAACATATTCTACATCATCATCCTATGCATCCCACAGAAATACAATCCTGAAACACACAGAAAACAATAAATAAATAACAACAGTTCACTAGAAATATTTATCTTCCTACAAAAATATTGTTTAATATTAATAATGCATATTCCCTCAAGTGGGGATCCAGAAATATAAATGTGTGTGGATGCTGTAAACAACAAAGAAATATTTTCAGAAGTTGATTCTCCATCTAGTGCCAAGGATAAGGAACAGTGGAGCCATACCTCCATTCCACCATGTCTTCAGGGTGTGGTGCTTGGTTAAGCACTAGGGTTAACTTCACCATTTACCTACTTCTTCATATTCAGGTCCCAAGTTTGAATTTCATGCAGAAGAATGGCTATCCTGAGGTTCTTTGTCACTGTCTCCAGTTTCTCTAGCAAATGATAGGACAGTACCTTAAAATGTATTGTTTCCTCCCACATCCTTTCCACTACATTATTCACAATCATCCTACCATTTGATGTTATATAACCTTTGTAACTGATGAAGTGTCATTAAATAAACAAAGAAACAAAATATCAAACCCCTCTTACCAACCAACATGACTTGAATAAAAATTTCTTTTAACAAAATACGCGCTAAATAAGCAATATATTTTTGACCAAACAGATAGGCATGTTTGAAAAGAGAATTCTTTATAATCAGTCACAAATACATTTCTTCTCACCTCTGCTTTGCTGCCATACAACGAATATGATCATCAAAAATGAAGCGCGCTGAAAGCAAGGGCACGCGATTCATAGATGAGCCAGATGACAATGGACGATGAATTGTGATATGAAGACAGCGGGAGTCATCCTTATCTCCTGTCACCTCAATATCCTGTAATCATGTTCTCTCATTCAAAGCACAAAAGTAACAAAAAAGAATATAATATTAGTGTTTTAAAATGATGATTAACAATATCATGTTCCTTTAAATGTTTTTCCTGCTCATATAACAGGTCACAATTTAAACACAACATAATTATGAAAAAGTGATGTAACAATGTTAAACTTGAATTTAAAGTGACATCTGTTCAGATTAGATTTTTTAGGATACAAATTGAAAAGGTAAAGTTAGAACAAGACGTAAAATGAAACAATAAATATTAATATGACCATCTGCATACTATTGGTATAAGATGATACAATGGAATAGAAAAATAACTGTTTAAATTTGCAATTATTCCAACATGATGTAAAATTTGTAGACAAGAAAAGGAAATGATAGAATTCATTTTGTTTGAATGCAAAGGAGAAGTAAATGCAAAAACATTGAGAAATTCTGTATTGGATGATGATGTAAAGTATAACAAACTGGGAAATAGCCAAACATCCTATATTTTACCTTTCATAGCAAATTCAGACAGACCACTATAAATAAATGTTTAAAATAATATAGAAACTGTTACTTTGCTTAAAAGGCAGGATTTAATAAATGAAATTGCTCAATTATTCACAAACCTGCAAAAAGCCAACAAATTTGGCAACACCCCAACCAAGTCGACGAGTATCAGGCTCTACCAGAATCAACTGGATCACATCTATCACAAGGAAGCGGCGGATCTTTGAGCCTTCCTTGCTAACCACTGTACAGGCTATTAGGTTACTGTTGTCTGTACCAAAGAAAAGATTCATATTGGCAAAAATCTTAAACATCTATTTAAGATAATGGGAGAACTTATGATTCCTGCTTTCCTAAAAATGTTTCAGGTTGTATTAATAAGAGATTAGTAAGAACAGTAAATATTGTTAGAAGTTAGCAGGATTTATAAACTAGAAAGTTTACAAATTAGTGATCCATTTCACTGCATTATTTCCTTTACTATATATTACCATTATTCTAAATTTGCCAGATATTCACAGCCTTGCAATATATGTAATTTTCACAAGTAAAACTAATATAATGTACAAAATCTGTAAATGTGTTTATTATATATCACCATACAAAATTGCAACTGTCTAACTCTTATGATTCATTACTAATGGCATCAAATGGAAAGTTGATTACACCAAAATAAGAAAATTGCACACTTTTTTGCATATATGCTACTATATAACATTCCAGTATTCATATTAAGTGGCACTAGTGTTGCTTCTATGCCAGAAGTTCAGAAGACTCCAATGTTGGTAGGGAAAATAAAAATACCAAGGACAGATGGTCTTCAGTGGCATGGTGTTCGTACTAAATTTAAAGAAAATCCTTCAGTTGATTCAGTAATATTAATCAGACCACACACATGCACATATGGATATGATGCACTCCTTTCTTTATAAGACAATGAAAATATGTGAATTGCAAATATGCATTTCTAAAATGCCATCATGCAACAGGTGGCTGATTATATGGTAGGACATAATGGTTTGATACTGTTATTTTCCTGTCGTAAAATAACCTCATTATTCCACCCACATTTATCCAAGGGAAACATTAAAGCTTGCACACACATGATAATTTAATCAGTTTGGTAGTTTTAAGCAGTATTAGCTAACTTACTGAGATCCAGTAAATTGTTGACCTGAACACAGGATTGGGGGTTTGTCAATGGCAGCTGTATTTCTGGCTCCATTGCCAACATCAGGGACAGCTCCCGAATCAAGAAGAAAACACGTATTGCTCGTTGGGCTCTCTCTACCTGTGAATTAGATATACATCAATAAATGTATAAAAATGTACAATTATGTATCATCCTTATTTTCTTCATTATAATCACCATTCAATGACAGAGACTAAATACCTTAATCTAAAGAGACACAAAAAGTACACATCTCTTCCCTTTACCTGTGGACAGACACAGAGCTAGGTTCTGAAATGTCATATACGTTCCCTCTAAAACTAAGACAACAAGACAACAAAAAAGTCCCTAAAACTAGTTTTGTGATGAAGTGCTTGTATTTTAAGACAGCTACAACTTACCTCTCCACAAGGCAATCGTTTGCTGAATTCAATGCCTGTCATTGGAGTTCCTGTAGGTGGCAGCAAGATGTTGGAATCCATCATTAACCATTCAACATTAAGAGGTCGCTTCTGCATCTCACTATATTCATCTTCGAACATGTCCAGGAATATTTCTTCACTCTGTTATTACAGATAACCAAAATGAACCTGCGGACTGCAGAATGCCTTAACCTATGTGGTACACTAAATCAAAAAGATTGTATTATATACAAGCAGTGACATACTGAATTATTTGCTTATATTCTGAAAACCACTTATTCTTGCTCATATGATTGTGGATAATTAATGATATGCTCCTTTACTTACATTTTATATATACATATATATCTATATATACACACACACAAACACACACTATATAAAGTGGTGTGTCTATTTATAACAGTACAAACTAAAAACAGGAGTTCAATTTAATTAAACCTTTGTACTTGCTCCATGATAGTAGTATGATAAGCAATATTAAAAAAATAATACTACCTTATAGAAGTTGCGAAGGAGGCACGTGCTTTCCTCCTTGGCACCCTCAATGGCGGCCAGGTGACAGTCATGAAGGTAACTCTGACCACTTTTCATGACTAGTTTTGTCAAGAGTCGAATAGTCAGCTCTAGTGTTACAAGACGTACACGACAGTCTACATTACCAAAAAAGGTTCAAGTTAAAAGCAAGCCAAAAGTACCCGAACAAGTTAAAATAAGAAAAAAAACAATGACCAAATATAATTATTGGAACTAACAATAATATTTTACACAATCACAGTTTTGGGCATTAGACACATTTAATGCATGTTACAAAACAAATTATTTCAGGGTCAAAGTGACAAAATAGAAAACTCCTGAACTTTGCTTCCTTTCTAGGTGATATGACTTTTTTTTTTTCTCGATATGCATTTTCATAATTCAAACATGTACTACTAAAATAACACAAAAATTAAAATGTGTGAAAAAATCATCTCAGCTGAATATATAAAAATACATATCAGACACTCCACATGAAGAGATCAGTTCTGATTGCATTACTAAACTTGCTGATATTTTTAACTGACTTTACATAAAAGTTTATTCAAATGCGCATCCACTATGTAACACTTACTTGGCTGGCAGCTGGTTGATATGATCCTGATGAGTCTCTCTGCTAACAATGTATTGTACCAGTTCTCGGTGCTAGGTTTCTCTGACAGGAAGAGAACACCATCCAGAAGATCCCTGCTTACACCTACAACATACATGTAAATGCTGTGCCTCTCTGAAGTTTATTCTTAATGAGATTTATAGTTGCAATATTTATTATAACCCATTATACAGAGCAGAGTCCTTCCTAAGGACCTAACAGTTGCTCAGTCAATTAAGAAATTCCCTGCCTTTTAGCAAACAAAGTTTCATTGTCATATACATATTCACAAGAGCCTGCCACTATTCTATATCCTGAGACAGATGAATCTAGTCCACATCAACACAATCTATTATATTATCCTCCCATTTATTCCAGTGTCCCTCTGATTTTCTCATCTTCCCATCTCATATTTCTTGATTTGTTAATCCTAAGAATATCTGACAAAGTCAAAGTTACTCATGATTATGTAATTTTCTCCAGCCTCCTGTTACTTCGTCCCTCTCAAGCCCAAATATTCTCCTCAGCACTGTTAATTTCTTTATTTCCCTCATGCTACAGACCAAGTTTCACAACCATCAAAAACAACAGGTAAATACTTAATGTTATGCTGATTATAATTTTGTATTGGTCTTCTACGATTGGAACAAAGCGGTTGTCATTTACTTTTCAATAATTTTCCATCACTTACTGAATGAAATTCAGAAGATAAACACCCAACTGCCCTTACTCTGTGACTAGAGAAGTACTAGGTCAAAGACAAAATGTGTTTCATTTCGATCTAAGAACAAGTACATTTTGTGAAAATGAAATTAACTGTTTCTTCACTTTTTATAGCCCCTGTACTGAATTCACTTTACCAGGTTCACATCAGAGATCAGTAATTCCTAGCCTGAAATAAAGCAACATTACATTGTAACACATGTTGCAATCCTTTCTAAAACAAACTACGTGTCTTTTACGTACTTGTACTGTACCTGGATTATGTCCAAGAGCATACAGCAAACAAAGAGCAAACAGTGCTGCATAGTCATTTTCTGAGCACTGCAGTGTGTTAATAATCATCTCCAGGAATGGTTTATTTGCCAATGATTGTTGCTGATAGTTATTACCAGCCAAAGGCAATGGTGGTGCTGGTGGTGTAACCCCATTCTCTATTCCAAAGACACAAACCACATTATCACAATTATTCATATAGTTATTCAGTTCATTCAATTTGACATCCATCACATCCATTTTCTCTGCATTTCATATTTAATGTTATCTCCCGTCTTTGTCTTTATGAACAAAAATAAGAAAACAACGTACTCACCAAGAGAAAGTCGCTGCTCCTTCTCCTCATCTGTGATGTTCACATTAACTTCCTTGGAATCTACTGAACCATTTTCGGCGGCGGCAGCTGGATCCAAATCTACTGCAGAGTTTAGGAAATAAGAGAAACTTTACAAGCTAAATATTAAACATAAAATTTCATTATACTCTTACTTACATTTACAAAAGCAGTAACAACAAATTGAAGAAAAACATATATGGACTGACAAAGAAACCTCTAGAAACTTTAAAGAGAAGGAAATCTACACTGCAAGATCTACTGCAAGAACTGAGTAAAACACTACCAGCAAAGATGTTTCTTTACATGTAGGATTTCAGGTTTTCACAGCAGTGAATCTGAAGATTGCTGTCTTCTGAGTTATTGCACCATGTAGTCTGGTAGATTTCCACCGTTTCAGAGGTCATGCTGTCTCAGTCATCAGGGCAATTAATGTGCCAATCAAGTGGAAAGGGCTAGGTTTATAGGGATCAGACAGTAACTGGAGTAGCCTGATCCTAGCCAATGGGAGCTGGTGTCAAATCAGGCATGGGTGGAGACCAATAGGAGTGTGTTAGCGTGTTTTGCTATGTGTGAGTGACAAAGAGAAAGGAGAGAGGTACAAGAACCAGCCCTATTGAAGGCCTCTATTTTTCCTCAAATTTTTTCTTCCCTCTCTGTGACATCTTTCCTAACCTGTTACTCTCATCTTTATTTCCTTCTTGGATGTTTTCCTTTCACTTTCATGTTTAGAACATTCTCCAAAATTCTCCCTTCATTCATTCTTGAAACATATCCAAATAACCTCATTATAATTTAAACTTTAGTGATAACTTCCTATACTGAACTGAATTAATTCTATTATAATCATGTTGTAACTATGAATGCCAATTTTCATGATGTTTCACAATTTAATTTAAGAGTTCCACACATTTTATGAAAATATAATTTACCTTGTGTGCCTGATGCTGTCTCACATTCAGTAGTATGGGAAGTTTCAGGTTCCGATGAATTTATTGAGCAAGTGGTGTTACTTTCAAGTGATTTTTCCAGAGTCTCTGTTGGAGCCACAAAGCCAGGTTTGATGGTTGCTGTGCCCTACGAACAAAATGAAGCCAAATATATTGCTACAGCTTCAATGACTAAAACTGCTACTTAAAATTCAGTTCATGAACTTCAAAGATAATTTAATTCAGAATACAGTTTTATATATTAAGCAACACACAACCACTAACCATCAACCCATATAAAATTAAAAGTATGTTACAAGAATATTACCACTTGACTTAAATTACAGAATTATAAAGCTTAAATTGTATTTATACTAATAAGTCTTCAAATGCTGAAAATGTGATATTTAATTTACATTTATCATATCCTGCTTTGCATATATTTTTATGAATAGTACCCATGAAAAGAAACCTGTATCCTTTCTATTAATTTTAATTTTAGCACTTTTCTTTATAATAAATTGATTTTCAAGGTCTTCTTAAGTTCTTCACAGCAGCAACTGGTTCAAATGTACTCCTCATCCTAAGTCAAATAGTTACCTGTGCCACTTTATCTGCCTCAGCCCCTGTAATTAGTGCCTTTCACAGACAAATATTAGCCTTTCAGTTATTCAATTTTCCAAGCAAGTATTAAAATATCTGCTTGTACATCAATACATCTTCTATCAATTATACTGTACTCTAAAAACACAGCACTGCCATTCCCACTGAAATACAGTGTAACACCAAAATTGTAATTATCTCTGGGAATAAATAAATTACGAAATCAATTCTCAAAAATTACCATTTCAGACAGTACATACCAGGCAATTCCAAATTATCATGATAGCTGACACTTCTGCATTACATGAATATTTTTAACATTGAGGATAATCATAAACCACCTAGAGCAAAGAAATTTCAAATGTTCATACAATGAAGCCAACTATACCCCCAAAAATTGTAGCATGACTTACCTGAGCCATATGGCAAGAAGTAAGTTTTTCAGATGCTCCCTGGGAAAAGATGTCCATGTCACCAGTAAGGATGAGTGATGCCAGAACATGAACCAGAGGCACATGTGTGATGATGAGAAACACTTGTGACAACAGGAACAATGATAGGACACTGCTGACATGTGGTTTTGTGTCCTATATGATGATGCATGACAAAGAACATAGCTTTCGCAGAACAATCTCTGGTGACCCATATTTGAACATAAAATGCATGCATCAGATCTGTAATATCTACAAGCCATCACCATCAAATATAGGATTTGAGGCTTTCGCGGCAAGTACAATCAATAAAATCTTCTCGGGCAATCAGCCGCGTTAACTGGTTACCACAGTAAACCGACGTTTCGGGAACAAACTGTCCCCATCTTCAGGGTTCTGATGTGACTGGATCCTCGGCAGTCGTCTGTGGCGTCTTCCGACTTCCAGTTAACGCGGCTGATTGCCCTAGAAGATTTTATTGACCATCAAATATGTTTTTCATTATTGTATGAAACAAGGAATGCCAATCCAAATGACATGGGCCATGTTTCAGTACCTTAGAAATATATACAGCCATGTGTATAAATAATACCTGTGCCTAAGCACAAATTCTTGCACAATTTTAAGTTTTCATGGCAGTGTGAATACAGATGATCTTCTGGGTTGCTGAGTGACACGGTATTATGGCTGTGTGTCAATGCTTCAGAGGAGCATACTACCTCAATCATTTGGGCTCAATCAGAAGTTTGGGATGTAGATGGTTTATACATAGGTAGGACATGGGTCAGGGCACTACGATTGACCAGTTAGAGGCATGGATGAAGAGGGGAGATGGAGACATATCCAAACCAATACAAAAGAATCCTTTCTGAGGCACCAGAAAGGGAGATTTATACGAGAGAAACAGAAAAAGTGCAACCTTTTATGGGGCCAGGAAAGATGGGAGGATGAACAAGAATTCTTGTTCTTGGAAAGAATTTTATTTTTCTGTTCACCCTAAAGGAACGGAAGAAGAAAATTCTATCCGAGAACAAACTTCTTCTTGATCCTACCTTTATTTCTAGTCCAATAAAAGAACCTCCTTTCGAAGTAAGGAATCTGAATTTGTGTTTTAACAGTTACTTCAACATATACTACAATAAGTCTAATTTCTATGGTGAAACAGACAAGAATTTTTAAACAGTATTCTGCCCAGAATTGCTTCTAACATTCAATGAATGCATAAAGCATGTGACAAGGGAATTTAAGCCTGCTTCAAGGGTTCATTTTTCTGTTACATGTTACCAGCTACACTTCCTAAATCTCTTAGTTCATGCAAGAATTCATAAACTAATTCAAATTGTAAATTTACCAACAACCCATTCATTACCTCTAGTTGAGAATGGCGTCTGCGTTTGGTAAGTGAATACACATAAAGGGGTATCAGCAGTTTGTTAAGCAGGTGGTCTGTCAACACCTGATTCAAATCTCCAATGTCCAGACTAAGAATGTCATTTAAGTAGTGAAGATGGTCTAGGTGTTCTGCAACTAAGTCTGACAGTCGGTTCTGACTCTGATGACTGCAAATAACAATTACCTATCATTAAAACATCTTAGATAACATCACACATCTGTAGTTAGAAATATAACTTTGTATATCAAATTATAACAGTATCAATTCTTAACATGTACAGCTAAAAACACAAGTTTTCTACTCTTCAAGCACAATTCTTTCTTCAATCCAACACCAAAGTATAAATTATTTAATTAATCAATTCTAAGTTACATACTTACAGACAAGCAATTTTACAATAATGGAAGTACACAATAATTGTTTTAACTACATAGTTCTTTCCTAAAAGTTTACTTACTATCACAGCTGTTAAATTACACATTACCACTAAAGTTCTATGTATATATGAAACAAGATAATCTGCTTAATCTACAACAGATTTATAAAAGAAAAGAGTGCTTATGAAAGGAAAAGTGACTTTTCATGGCAAAGTATCATAATCATAGCAATGGTTTATAATTACATTATGTAATATCAAGACAAAACTGAAATATTTACTCACTCTGCATCATTGCGAACACAAGTGTCCAATTCCAGGATATGGTTGCCAATGAACCACACCAAATTAGAAAAGTAAGGTGCAGCTGTTTTATCACGAATAAACTTGAGCATGGATTTGTCCTCCACTCGATACACATTGAGTGTCAAGGTTCGCACAGCAATGCGTACCATACTTTCTGGATGATTGAAGAATTTGATTGCCTCAGTATACAATGGAAAATCATTTGTGTGCTTTACCAAACAACAAAAAAGTAAATATTAACAGCTAACATATGACATAACACATGTTTCAACATAAACACACAAAAGTCATTAAAATTAATAATTTCATAAAGATGCTGTAAATTCCTGAGTATCCATTAAAACAAGAATGTTTAAATCTTTTTGTTACTTAAGAAATATTTCAACAAACACGGAAAAAATGCAAATTTTTTAAGATAATTACTTAATCCATTTAAATATAAAAATACAAAACAAACCAAACAATCCTATCCTAAACCAACTCAGTTCAGCCCATAACAGCACAAACTATTTTCCTGGAACACATTTATACACACTTTATTATTTATGATAAATTTTATGCTTAGTACTTGGGCACAGGGTACATTTAAGACACTGCATTCTCTGCCATTTCATTGTGATGAATACTGATAGTAACATGAATATATGACATTTAAAGCAAATTAATTTTAATTTCTTGAAAACTTCTATAAATATGTATTTCAATTGCTATGGCCAAAGTAAAAATGAATGTAATATTGAAAATGACAGCCTTCTAATGCTGCACTATGCAGTCTAACAAAAATTGAGCTTCCATGATCAGAGTAACTGCCCTGATGATGGAGGCAGCAAGCACCTCTTAAATTTTGGCCAACTTCTATGAGGATTTGAGTTTTCCATCGAGGTGAGTCTGAAGATGGCCATGTTCTAACTTCAATGAGACTACATGAAGCAACATCCCAGAAGGCTGTCACCTTCATACCTGTTGTGAGAACCTGCAATCTCACATAAATGAAATGCTATTTCAAATGGTGTAGACCAAGCCTATGAACACCATCTCCAAAACAAATACACAGATAACAGAACTGCATGGAGCATTTCTGCTTCTAAAACTAATCTTACCTCATTATAAAAAAAATGGATAGTATGGGCATTTAATTTCAGAGACAGGGTCTTAAGAAATGAGATATAGTAGGCCATCACCTCTTCATCTGAGAAATCAAACTTGTGCACAATTATTGAATTGACGTGGTTGTTACTCAGAAGATAGTCTGTAACAAACATATTACATTCAATGGTTACAATGCATACAAACAACATTTAAACTATAAAGTGAAGCTTTTGCAGTGACTGAAGTTGATGAAAGACTCTCAGGCTACAAACCGCATCAGGTGGCTTGTAGCCCAAGAATCTTTCATCAACATTTAAACTATTGTCTTACTTCATCGAGAAACTTTAAATCTTATAGTCTAATAAAAGCATATGCTATGTGAAGAATAATTAAAAATTCTTTACTATGATAAAAAGATGACAGGAAATAATAAACTTCCGAAGTGAAAGGAAGTTCATTATCTTGTAAATCCATTATAAAAATTGAATAAGTATGTTTATTTGTTTAATAAACAATTTATGCTAGCAACCTTGTAAGCATGTAATTACAAATATAAATACAAGTAAGTAAAGTTTGTCCCACTATACACCATGTAGGCGTTTGGGGTGAGTGGAGGTATAGCTCCTCTCTTCCTTGACCTCGGCACTAGATGGGGGTGAGTGGTCAGCATCACGCCCCAGCCGGCTTTACCCCCGGGAAAGGACCCCGGTACCCATTGTAGAGGAGGCTGGGTGGGCCCCAGAGCCAGTCTGGACGCAGAGGCTAGAGGAAAAA